AGGGGGGAGCAGGGCGGGGGGAGAGGCGAAGGGCCCGCGCCGCTCCCGTCCCGCTCCACTCCCCGCTAGGCTCTGCCAGGCTCTGGTGGTACGCTACGCCCCGGCCACGCCACGCTGAGGCCCTCCCTCCGGTACCCTCGGGCCCTAGCCTCGCGCCAGCCTCCCCGCCCCGGGCCGGGTACCGCACCCGCACCGAGGCGTACTCGCGCACACCCGCACTGCGTCCCGTCAGCGACCCGTCAAGCTCAGCTCTGCCCCCCGGCGGCCCGTCTCTCACCGGCCACTCTCGCTTTCGTTCGGGCGAGACGGACCCGGCGGCTGCACGACAGGGAGAAGGGGTGTGTGTGTTCGCGCGCGCGCGTTTTCGAATCGGAATCCCTTCCCTCACCGCGTCGCGTCGCGGTGCATCAGCGGCGGCACGTGCCTGGGACCCACGGCGCGGCCTAGGGCGGGCACACAACAGGCAGCGAATACGTCAGACTCGCTCGCGGCCCCGCCCGTAGCGTAGCCTGCGCAGCCAGCGCTCGGCGGCCTCTCCCCTCCGCGCCCGGCCCCTCGGAGCCCTCCTCCTGCCCCCGCCGCCGCCGCCGCGCAGCTCCGCGCCCCGGCCCCGCGCGCGCTCGCGCTCCGCGTGGTCCGCTACTCCCCGAGCCAAACGCCGGCGCGGCCCCGGCGCAGCCTGCCCAACAGCAGCACGCACTCTTCGGCCAGGTCAGGGATCCCGTGGCGTCCCCACCGCGCGCCGCCCGCGCCGACGAGTGGTGGTGCTCCGCTGCTCTCCGCTGCTGCTCCTCCGCGCCCGCCCGGGTCTCACCGCCGCCGCGCCCAGCAGCACCGCCTCACGGCCGCGTCTCGACGCGCCCGCCCCGCCGCGCCGCGCCCGCAGTACGCCGTCGTGGTCGGCCCGCCCCGGAGGTGTCCAGAGCCGCTGGCCGGCCTCGCATCAGCGCGTCCCGGCCTCCCTCGAGCTGGTGGTCCACGCCCGCGACCTTGATCTCGACTCTAGTCAGTGTGTGTGTATGTGTGTGAGTGATATTGTGGTGACTGCGACACGTGCTCTCCCCCGCGGACCGCCGCTGCCCGGGCCTTGGCCGTGGCAATGAGCTTCGGCTGCACGTCGATCAAACCTCCTCAGGTAAGTGACGAGAAGCAGCTCCCCTGCTCGGCGGTCCCCCCC